AGTACTTTACACATTTGTCATTCGCCTTTTATTTATATGTCCTTGTCCTTGATGGGTTCTTTATGAAGGCAGAAGCAGAGTGAACCCACCGGTAACTTCACACATGGAGCAAAAACACTTCAGGGAGTGATTACCAGGGACATGCAGTACTTGCACACAGGATGACACATAGCTCTAAGAGTACAGTACAGAAAACAGTTGATGGGGGGAAGGTACTGGCAAACTTTGTTTCCATGATCCATTATAAAAATGTGGATTAACCCCATTATATATCCTAGAAAGGTGCACATTGCAATATAAGTATTTTTTTACAATAGAAGACAAACAAACCTGATACTTTCAATGACATTTAACTAAAATAGAACATTTGTTTAAAAATGGAAAAGGTGAAAAAGACGAAAAAGGTCTGTCAGTGTGAAAAGAACCAAACTACATGTGTATTTCCTTACTAAGTTACCTATTAATCACAACAAAGAAAAACACTGGGTTGATGTGGATGTTAAAGTAGCAACATTTAACGATGTGAGACCATAGGCGGTTGGTGTGTACTTCAACAAGATGCAACTTATTTGACTGATAGATTTATCTGTAGGCTAATTGGGACAGATTCTTACATATTTGACAGTGCACCACATTCTTTGTAAAAGATAGATGTAGCTGTACTACTCTATATAAGGAAAATAATTTGTGTCACCAACATAAGGAGGAATCTTTAACTTCAAGATCCTGTCTTGTTATTTCACTGTACTGAAACAGATATGAAACATTTTCCTTCCTGATTAATGTGTGACCTCATTTTATTTAGTCACCATGGTTTTATATCTCATGCCAATATTCTGGATGTACTCGCAAGGGAATTAAATAAATGTGTGTTTCATTTAATTGCCTGTGCAAGCTTCATACTGATTGCACTTGTTTTAATTATGTAGCTTAATCTCTTGTTTTTTTGTAATGTTAAAGTTAACTACTGCAGTGATTTATTGAATAAAGATGAGGTTTTTGTTCTGCCAGTTGTTCACACATCTGGCCAACACCTTGGAGCATGTGTCAAATATGTTGTATATCTGCTCTCCAGAGGTCAGTTCAGTACTGATTTTATTGACTTCATGGCCTTTTCACAGCGAAGTGCTCCTAACAATTTTAAAATGCTTGGACTAGTACTGGGAAGTTAAAAAAAATTTGCTTCAGTTCTGCTGTGTTGTTTTGTCTACTGTTTATTTTGTAGGATGTAATGAACATTGCAGCCTTTATAGGCTCTTACCAAAGCTTTGAGTTTTTAGTACTGCTAACTGAAATACAGTATTTGAGTTGAAAAAAATTATGTCCGACAGTGTCAGCCTACACGCTTACATGGTGTATCAATATACATTCTGTCCATGCATGTATTGCAAATACATAAAAGCAAGCTGCACAGACAAGTATTTTTTTTGTTTGACACATTTTTTAGCTGCAGAAGTGTACCCTGGCCAAGTGGAGTCATATGGGTCATTGCCAAAAGATCATTTCAACATTTTCCTTAATGTGTTTTCTGGGTTATCCAGCGTCAGAGCAGAATGTCAAGATCAGTGTCACTGACTACTCCTGACAGAGCTGCTTGCAGCCTTTTGCTTTGGTCCAGTTTAAATCTACAGCAAGAGGCCACTTGACTCCTGCAGGTAAAGGGACATGCTTTTGGCCATTTTCACTTGTTTCGTTAACAGATGCATTTTGCTTCTTTTATGTATTTACCAGAGATAAACCCAACTCTGGTTATATCATACCAGCATGCAGTTTTCATGTGACCGTCACTGTGTTTTCCAGTGTTGCTGCAATGTGCTGAGAAACCAAAATGTCTCCAAACAAAGAGGTATGTCCTGCTGAGATCTTTTAATCTATTTTACTTTATTTTTTGTTTGTGTGTGTTTGCTTTACTAATGGCACTCCCTGGTTTAGCCAACAAACAACTACTAACAAACTGTCAAAGCTTTCTAGGTGTAGCCTGGAATTTAAGCTCTGCACATACTAACACACTGATTTGGACTGTTTTAGGCAAATTGGACAGGAATTGTCTGGTTCTCATGGAGCACCGAACCTCAAATAGCCAGAGGTAAAACTGATAATGATCTGTGGGGCTCATAGAGAACAGTGGGGCTTTTTCAAAATTAGAATGCTTCTTCCTGATGTAAACCGATCTAATCTAATGGTTAAATAAATTTTTTTTTTTTTTGTAATTTTAAAATTGCTCTACTCCACCATCACATCATATCACAGCACATTGTTTAACACACTTTGTTTAGATTTTTGTTGTCAAGAAATGATGCAGACCCATTACTAAGAAAGTAACACAAGATTATTTTCACACCCATTACCACAATGCAACATACAGTAGCATTTTTTAGGACAACATAGCCTTGTTCAGACACCAAAATAGTTATCCATATTGCTGGAGAACATTCAGTACTTAAAACAGCTTCTGAGTGTTTTAGTTTCAGTTGTGTTGTTTTAAACCAGGCAGTCTGACCTCAAATCAACTAGTAGACATAATTTCTACAAGCATTTGCATCAATTGCAATATAACTTAATAGTGAAAAGTTGACCGTGCATTTGTGGGCAGACTTTTAAAAAATACAGGCATTACATCAGTTCACTGTTTCACCTGGAATCAAAGGACAATGCATAATGTCTGTGAGTGTTTCATTTATATCCCAGTAGAACTACTTAAAATAAACTGAAAGAGAAATGTTAGGAAGAAGCAAAAGCAAAGTCCTAGTACAAAGACTTCATACAGATGCATTCACTATGTTCATGGTCACATTTGTTGTGCCTCAAACACTTTTCCTTTTTGATATTCTGTAATCTTATTTTCTTGTGAACTTTAGTTAGGGAATTAAATATGAAGTATTGATGGGCATTAGGGTTGGGTATCATTTATATTTTAACAATTCTGCTTCTGCTTATCAATTCAGTTCCTTAACAATTCTCAAATCCTATTCTTTGAGTTGTAAATGGCTTGAGTTACTACAAAAGAAAATTCTGCTGTTATTTTAATGTGTGAGTATTTATAATAATCTAATAACATAATATACAATATCATATATTATACTATAACAACCATAGGATACATTTTGTCTGAGTAGTTTACATTTTATTACCATAGGGCATTTTATTGATTATACTCACATACTTTTACTTGAAGTAACATTTTCACTGTTGGACTTTAGCAGTGTGGTATTATTATGTGGTTAAAGTATCTAAGTATTTACTCCATCACTGCCTGACTATCGAGGAAAACAAACACTGAATAACTATATGAATTGGTGTGTTTTTAAGCAGTGAAGATCCACAGCTACACATCAACCTTAAGGAAAGTGGTGATGTAGACTAGTAAGTCTGTTGTCTAAACTGAGTCTCTCCTGATGGCTGAGAGAAGCAGCAGCACATTGCTGTAGTTAGTCAGCTGCAACAAGCCTTGATAAGCAGAATGGTTACTGAAAGTCTATGTGTTGTGTTCGCTGTCACAAAAGAGAAATAAAGAGTGTCTGCTCATATATTGTTACAACAACATCCTCTTGCATTCTTCACTGCAGAGTTTTTGAAACTTTGCTTGCAAATGCTAGCAGCAGAAACACAGAGCTACCTGGAAGACATCATTGTAACAGTAGCAATGGTGGCCTCTTTTCTAGTTTTTGTTTTAGTGTTTATTTCCTGTAACAACAGCAGAGTCTTGTAAAGCACTTTTTGCAGCATTTTTATTAATTAAGGTGTTTGTTATGGGACAGGTGTGAAGTTTGTGCAGCTCACTTGCTAGTCAAGCAGCCCAGCAATGACTCAGCAAGATAATGGATTAATGCTAAGGTCACGATTTACAGTTTTTCTCAGTCTTCCCTAAGGAGACTGTCCTATGTTCACATTTCTACTTTTGTTCTTTTGTTTTTTTTTTCCTTTCTGTATCGCAGTGACATGGTCTGTCAACAAATTACAGTACAAACAGTAAAAGCCTAAATGTGAATCTTGTCCAGTCTCTTGCAATCAATCTCCCACATACACTAAGGTGTAACTCACAATTTACAATAACTGTCATCAAAACTTCAGGCATAGTTTACATCAGAACATCCCTCCAGGGTACACTGTTTATTATTTTATGTTGACAACATGATTAAACTATTTGACTATCTTATCCGTACACATTGACACAAGGACTTGTCATTCTGATGGCACTGACATGTTCATTGACACAGATATTTAATTTTGAGAGATGAACTAAGGATTTTGAGCAAGTAACTGCCTTTTGCAGGTAATCCATGGTATTTTGCTATTTGTACGAATTGTTTTGAGAAATGCACTTACTGTTTTGCAAATGTCGAGAATGTTTCGAGAATTGTACCAAAGCGACTGAGAAAAACTGTATTAAGAAAAACGCATGAGAGCATAGAAGGCATTCCGCTTGCAGAATGGTTCAGACAGATAGCCATAGATACACTGGTGTTTTCAGTACACTGTGTCCAAAGTTTGCTCTGTCATAGGGGGCAGGAGAACATCTCTTGGGCCAAAGCAGCTGTTAGCTTTGGGTCTAATTGGGGCTAACCAATTACATTCACAGTGCTGGCCGCTCACTCTCTGTCACTTCAAACTTTCTCTGCACACACATCTGCACTGCTCTATACTCTGTCACAATTGTTCATACACTAGCACAAGAACATGTGCTTAGGCATCGATAAGCAGAACTGAATTGAAACTTCAAAGTCCAAACTTTGGAAACTTTTATGGTGTCCAACCCTAATGATCATAAGCAAAACAGACTTAGGTCATGCAAGTGTCATGGAACAATGGGTTCGTCTTGTATTCATTCTTGCAAAGATGTGAAATTATTACAAAATGAAAAACTAAAAACAAAGTATGAGACGAGTTGAATGTTTGACCAATCTGTTTAGACCTCACAAAAAAGGTTGCGTGGACTTCCTAGGCAGTACACTCACCCTCTCAAAAGCTCTGACATTCTTGTAGTTTTCAGACCCTTTAATCTAGTGATCATTATCCTCTTCATCGCTGTCCTTCATGGAAATGCCTTGCATGCCTCCTTCCCTCACTGATGCTGTGGCTTCTTCCAAGGTCAGCCGGTTTCTCACAGTTTCATACATCTTACTGTTTAATGTGGAGTCCAGCACCCCTTGAAGGCGGAAGTCACGGTACTTTTTCTATTGCGAACAGAAAAATGACAAATAGTTAGCAATGGCATTCAAGAAACAAACATAAGTTTTGTCAGTTATGGTGTTCCGCTGTTGATGCCCAAAGATACTTCCAGTCTTTGTACGAGCTAAAATCCCTCATATGTTTCTGCACCAAAAACGCAGATGTGATATGAGATATCTGAGATATGAACTCAGATATGATAATGTGCTCACACATTCACCATTTAGCTGTTTAGAGTAAACTAGTGTCATGGGTAAAGTTCCATTTACCCAAGGCTCTGCCCACTGCTATGGAGTTCAGAAGAGCTATACCCTTATTAAGCTAGCCTCAGGTTAACTGGACAATAGATAATGATTTTGGGAGGAAGACAGAAATTGTATCTGCATCGGCAAAACACAGTGAACAATATGTCATTTAAAAAAAGAAAGCAACAATAATTTAATGTTTACAACAAAAGATATGAATCTGCCGTGTCAGGAGTGACTCAAGAAGGTAATGATAGTGAAACTTCCCCCAACCTATGCTCGACTGGGTGGTGAGATTTAAACAGCAGATATTGCTTTGTGTGTCCAAGTTTTCTGTAGACTTTGGTGTTGAGGCTTCCACCCTCCTAATCGTGAACAGCACAGTCCAGGAAAGGCAGTTTGTTTTCTCTCATATCGTCCCTCGTGAACTTGATGTTGCTGTCCACTGAGTTAATGGGTTTCTGCTTCTTCTGCTTTGATTTTGACCAAGATGTCGTCCACATACATGAACCAGGGGCTAGGAGTTGCTCCCTTAAAAGAGCTCAGTGCTCTGCTTCCCATATCCTTCAAGTAGAGGTGGACCACAATAGGGGACACTGGATCTAGAAAAAGTGACCACATGCCAGAGCTGAATATGGCAAGGCATTGCTCCGGTAAGGTGTGGCAGTTTATTCTGACACATTTTTATATTCTTGTGCAAAACACTGGAAAAACAAAATCACTTTTTATCTTTCACCTTGCTTGTTTACAGGATCTGGCCTTATGCTGCTATAGGGCCAGACTGTTGAGGGACTTTCTACTATGGACTGAGCACCCCTCCTCTACCCTTTTTTCTGTCACTCTCCATACATTTATGTGTTATTTTTTTGTCTTGTCTCTCCTTTAGTTTGTGTTTTATCCTTTCTGTAGATATCTCTGGCTTCGGAGCTACATATTTCTGCGGTGACCTCTCCAACCTCCTCAGTGTTTGTTGTTCTCTTATGCTTAATTGTCTATTTCTCTCTGCTAACCTTTGTCTCTCTCTTTCCCCCTAACCTCAACCATTGAAAGCTGATGGCCATCATCCCTGAGCCTCGTTCTGCCTAAGGTTTCCTAGTTTAAAAAGGATTTTTTCCCCCCACTGTCACCAAATAGCTGCTCAAATTAAAGCTTTAGATTTGTTGGCTTTCTCTCTATAATCTAATGTTTTTAAGTCTTTTTTTCGTGCCCTAAGGTGACTTACGTTGTGAAGTGGCACCATATAAATAAAAGTGGGTTCAGCTGAATTCAATACAATTTTATGTCAGATGGATCTAGCATGGGCTGCAAGGTGGCGCAGTTGGTTAGCACTGTTGCCTCACAGCAAGAAGGTCGTTGGTTCGCGTCCCGGTGGAGGCATTGGGATCTTTCTGCGTGGAGTCTCCATGTTCTCCCCGTGCAGCATGGGTTCTCTCTGGGTTTTCCGGTTTCCTCCCACACAGTCCAAAAACATGTTGAGGTTATTTGGTGATTCTAAATTGTCCGTAGGTGTGAATGTGAGTGTGCTTGGTTGTCTGTCTCTTAGTGTAGCCCTGTGATAGACTGGTGACCTGTCCAGGGTGTGCCCTGCCTTCGCCCTAAGTCGGCTGGGATAGGCTCCAGCCCCCCCGCGACCCGAGTGAGGATTAAGTGGTGTATAGATAACGGATGGATGGATGGATCTAGCATGTTGCCTTGAAGAATATGGTTGTCAGCTTTCTGTTCTCATACTGCACATATGGTTTATACTTGGCAGCAGTCTTTATGCAGGATATGGAATGATGAATCTGTCACAGTGAATTGAGGTGACCTGTCATGGTTCCAACTGTGTCACTGTCATGCATTAATATTACTACCTTGCTTTACGATGTGATAATATTAAAGTTCTTTTTAAAAAAAATCTTTAGCAAAAGCTCATATCTCCTATTTATTTTCTATTATAATATTACTCTAATTCCTGTTTTACATACCAGAGAAAAAATAGCAAGGATGCTTTTCTATTTGGATAAATGGAATATCCTCAAAAAATCATTTTTTTCAGAAACTCACTTCGGAAAATGTTGGTTTTCCCGGAAAGGTTGTTAGGCGAGTATGATAGATAAAAATGCAGAAAATAGAAGTACCACAAGTACCACAAATCAATAAAGTATTTCTATCTGATTCTATTTCCTGAACTGGATAAGTTATTTTCTGGCTAAGTCAACTAAGGAACTGTAGTATGGGGTGTACTGGGCGATGCAATGTCACTGTAAAAGCCTCCAGTCAAACAGAAAGACAAAAAAAAAGTGTGGCAAGTACAACTGACAAAAACACCATACTGTGTGTGAACAGAGGAGAGAAACTCATTTTAAGATTAATAATGCCAAATTATGTGGGAAGCAGCTGTAAGAAGTTGAATGTTCCAGAGATGTAAAGAGTAACTGTTATAACTTCTGTCATTTTTCCTCGTCAACATTCGTATAACAGTAGTTGATAGGAACTTGCATTCAGATATGTAGTAGAGATATAAGAGTCATTCATTCTCACTTTGACAATCCTAATAAGAATCTTCAGCTGATAAACGTGGAGCTGCAGGTCCATACGGTCCGTCAGCCATGTTCCTATGAGGTTCATGGTGCTGGTGTACCATTGCTGTAACAGACACACAAACATGTAGTACATTTAGTTATCAGACTGTTCATGAAGAGCATACATCAAAATGCAACATTTCAATCCTAAATACAATGAATCCAGAACAACGGACGTTAATATATACACTTTATTTACTTTGGTTGTGGAATGCCTGGCAGAGAAAGTGTGTAATGTCGACCTTTCAGTGTACCATCATGACAGTGAGGTCCTTGTGGATCATTGAGGGAGCGGCAAGACAGACATTGCTGACAAAGACATGTCTAATCTCAAGATGTTCACGTTGCGTCGTTAGCACAGCCCAATCAAGCCATCAGAAAAATGACAGATAGCACAGAGCAGTTCAGCAATGCCCGCACAACCCTGCCTGTGTCCCATCATGTGGGTCCCCATTAGTTACTCCCATGGGCTTCAGATCTATTTAGGTCTGTGTTGTGCACTCCGGGAAGATCCAGCAGTCAAAGAGGCGTCAGTTAATGGGGATCCTAATAAAGAGAGAGGCTCATGATGCTCTTGGCACACAGCAACATGTGCTGAGAATGCCATGGCGAATGAAACTAATCTTTTTGGTGTCAGAGCTGTGTTATCTTTAACTAAAGTAGTCTCTCTCTTCAATAAGGCACATATTTTTCTGTTGTGTTATGATGACAGAAAGGTGATTCAGAAGAAGTTAGGGCGTGAACACACTGCACATTTTTGGGAGGTATTCCTGTAGTAGATAATTCAGTTACACAAGTGCAACAAACCTGGCCAGTCACACTTCTAGGCTGGGTCCAGCTAGTGAATGTGTACTTTCTTTAAGTTGAGTTGCAATGCAATGGACTCAGTTTATCAATATCAGTTACTGAAATATGAGAACCAGCCCTCATTCTAATACTATTATACAGGTGTTACATTCTTCAACCTTGAAATTTGCCCACAGCTCTATTTCGACAAGCCCTCTCGAAACAGTGAGTTCTGCAAGGCACAGTCAGCTCAAAGCACAGCAGCTCTGCAGAAATGGAGCCGAAAGGCTGCAGATGGTCCTCTGTTTGCTCTGGCTGTTGCCAGTCTAATTGATAGATAATGATGAGTGTGGGCTGATACTAATAGAACCTGACTGACTTTCAACAGTCAGGGTCACAGTAGAAAGGATGGGGGGCTGGAGAAAAATGGAAAAAGAAATTACAAGGAAACTTGAAGCAGCATGAGTATGTGTGTGAGTTTAGAGGGGATAAGATGATGGGGGATCATTTCTGAGTAGTACAAGGTAGATTCTTAAAAGTAAACATTTTCACCATAATAATCTGTTATAATGAGTATGATAATCTCAGGCTTATTGTGTTTATTGCTGAATATTAATTACTCTTATTCACTGACAAGAGTCGTACTGTGTCCTAACCTCTGTTGTATTAAAGGAATTGGATCTCGGACTAAAAAGATAGTGCCTGCTTACTTAAATGAAATTGCTCACTGGCACGTAAGCCAAAATAGTTTTTCAGGTTCCTGGATGGTTTCTGTAATGTACAGCTCCTTGCACATATACTTGACTAATTCCCCCACTAGCCATGTCTGCATGCTCCCGCTGGGGCCACAGACTATACATTGTGACGTCACAGAAAAAACTCAGTTTTCGGTTGAGGGTGTCCTGTTTTCTTGACATTAGATGGCTTTCCACGTGTCTCTTTTACAATAGAGGTTTATGGGAAAAAACGTTTTTTTGTCTGCAAGGGAACTTATGTTGCAATCCTGTGAGTGACTATGGAAAACTAGCTGTGTTCAGCTCTCTCATGACATCCATGGTGTACATAGAAAACCAACATGTTAGCAGAGCTGTGACAGACTCAGTGGTCCCTTTGTATTTACACAAGAGAAATTTAGCTGTAGTTCATTCACATTTCTGCACCGCTCATAACTCAAAATACAATACCTGTAGTTATGCGCTTAAAACAGAAGAAAATAGACTTGAAGCATGGAACTAAGTGGTTAAATGTGAAAATCACGAGTAAAATGCAACCCATTGTGCTGGCAGTGGAAACAGGCTCGTTTAAAGATCATATCTGCTCAGTAGGGTGGGTGAGATGGTGAAAATCAGCCATGTGCAGTATCTTGTACAAAAGTCCACCCTTTAGATATCCTGGACTGAGAGACTAAATAGCTGCCTTTTTTAAATTTTGCAATGCTTATACAATACATCTTATTTTAATTAGAATTTAAAGTTGCCCTGAATGTAGATTCCTCATGCAGTCAACCTATTGGTGTTTCAAAGGAGCTACTTTCAGTTTTTTATGAGAGTTGCAGGAGGCATGTGCTGCTCACCCTTATATACCCTGAATCTCTACAATGCTGGGAGAGAACAAAATTACTACAACCAACACAAAACATATCTATAGAAAGCACACCAGGTTGAAAAAAGGGAACTATCCTCAGAGTATTAGTTTGTGTATCTACAATGATAATGCCACAGAATGATCTGAATTTGTCTGTCTATTTTGAACTGCCACAGTAAAAGACCAAAAGCAACCCACTATCTTAGACCTGCTGAGGCACTAAGACATGAAAAGATGAGGTTTACATGTAGGTCAAGCTCAGTCATTGGAACATTGGTGACAGGGAGGATGGCTGTGTCGAAGCAGTTCTGGGGTGAATCAGTGAGGCGACCTGGTGCCAGCAGCTTCCTATCTGTCGCTGTGTGCCTGTGAAGGCTTCGCTGTGGCAGCAGGCCTGTGATCTCGCCCCGAGCACAACCCCCTGCTGGGAGGCCAGGCCTGGAGTGACTGATCCACTGACTGGCTGCTCAACCTCTTTCTATCATCCATTTCTCCTTTGCTTCTCATTTTTCTTTAGACTTTGCACCAAGTCACACAGCTCCCATCTGCAACCATTTCTTGCAGCGGCCATTTTGTGCCTGTTCTGCCTTCGTTCTCTTCATTTTATATAAAAAGAGGCTTGACAGTTATGTCACAAGTATTCTTGCTGCCACGACTGGCATTTTGGAGGTCTGTCAGGGACATCTTGTGTACACATAATGCCTGCTATTTTCATCAGCTTTAAGATCTTTCTAATGCCAGTTTGAATGTAACATTTTTACAAAAATGAAAGTGACTGTTGATCCAGATTGACTTGAATCTCTCACAAAAAAAAGTGTATTTTGTATTTGTAACATCTCAATAAAACTGACTAGACTGTTTCATTTTCACCATTATATTTAAGACATGGGGAATAAACTACATGACAAAAGGCTTAGTATACGGTTTCAGTCAGGTCCATAATATTTGGACATTGACATAATTTTTTAGGATTTCAGCTCAGTACACCAACACAATGGATTTGAAATGAAAACAATCAATATGTGCTTTAGGTGCAAACTTTCAGCTTTAATTTGAAAGTATTTACATCCAAAACAGGTGAATGGTGCAGGAGTTACAACACATATTGTATGTGCCCTCCACCTTTTTAAGGGACCAAAAGTAATTGGACAAACTAACATAATCATAAATCAAAATCACTTTTGATCATTCATTCGAGGTGCATGGCTGATTCATTGGTTCTTAGCTTTAGCCATCATGAAGTTTGGAAATTACAGCGTATTATAGACCTAACAATAACAAATCACAAAATATATACCTGCATAATCTGTGAAATCTTTACAATCATTTGTAGAAGTCAGATTTTCATTTGGGAATTAATTGAAGAGTTCATTTGCAAAAACAGATAACTTCATTTTTGTAGATTTTCAGAAAACGATTTTTTTATTGTTTGCTTGACACATTATAAATCAAACTGAAGTTCAGTGGATTTGACTCAGTAAAAATGACATGACAAAAATAGATATAACATAAGTTTGATTGATACTGTCCCAGGTAGACAATGGAAAAGTGGGTTTTCTGAAGGTTTGTGATGATGGAGTTATCTGTTTTTGCAAATGAACTCTTCATTTATACACATGGATCAACACTGCCTGACACTTTTTAAGTTCATGTTTTTACTGCAACTCATAGATGACTACCAAATCAAAAAGACACAACTGTGTAGAATTATATCTAAGCTATTTTTAGGGCAAGATTATTTTAATGAAAAAAAAGTGTAACAGTGATACATAAAAATGATAAATCAGTGACTGCGGAGAGAGTTTAAGCTCTGTTATTGGACGTTTCTCTCCAAAATGCCCCTTTTCGCCCTCAAATTTGTTATGCACATGGTCTTGTACCTTTGATTTTTTATCATATTTCTACTGCACTTGAGGCTCGAATCTTTTGGATTTAAAATTCAGTGTGTAAACTGAGGTGTTCCAAGTGTGAGTAACAACAGAAGTGGGTACACTACTGTGCAATATCACCCAAATGTCAAGGATTTCAAACTGTCAACGATTTCAAATTTTATTATTTCTAAGTTAAACAGTGTAGTTTTTCTCTTTGTTTTTGATGACAGACTCAATCTTCCTCAGCATGGAGGATACCAAATTTCTCAAAAGGTGTTCTGCCTTTCTTCAGAGATTTGGATTTTAGCTGCTCATGCTGGAGGAATTGGACTGCTCTACCTTTGTCATTAAAATATAATCAAAGGTGTTATATTGGATTAAAGTTAGGAAATATATTTGGCCAGATCATCATTTTACATTTTTTTTCTTTTTTAGAAACTGCTGTATTTTTTCAGCAGTGTGCAAAAATGTGTAATGTATCATTATCAGGCTTAAATGTTCCCCTTCTGCCAAGATTCTGCTGACTGGGAGTCATTTTGCTATATCCACGGCATTCATAGTACCATTTCTAAGTGTAAACTCCCCGCCACCTTTTGCACTTATGCCGCCCCCATATCATCCTGTTTCCACCCTACTGTGGGAATCCTGGCCACATCCATGCCAAACATGCTAGACCCCATCTAAGGTGAACAAATGTGTCTTGACAATCCTTTGACTAAGTACTATCCAAGAAAGGTTTTTTTTTTTTTTTTTAAATCGACACTTTACATTGTAACCTCAGCGCCAAGTCTCAAAAACTTGTGCATCTGTTTTGCAGGGCTAG